TGTATAGCGTCCTCCCAAACCATCAACATCACTTACGATTCTTCAGACGACGAGCGAGAGATCCGCAATGATGGCTCAATTAAGTCTATTTCAGAAAGAACGGGCAAATTAGAATTTTACATTTGATTTGACAAGATGCAAGGTTTGTCAATTCGTCATACACCAGGCATTCGAAGGACGCATTTAGCACGCTAGTCACTCTTGTCAAATCTCATCGCGGTAATTTTACGTATGAAGAGTCTACTAGATTGACCCAAATCAATCTCACGTATGAAAATGATGTCCGCTCATCATGCTTTCAGGCTTTACGGTTGAGTTTTATAAAATGGATTATCGATACTTGCTAACAATTTCACAGCTTACCGATATCGCTGGTATTGAGAGAGTGGTTTGGATGGATATTATGAAGCATTTCTCGCAACATTAATCCGGCACCTCAATCATTAAAGCAGCCATGGCACTCCTTGTGCAGTAGAAAACTATTTTGCTCAAGATTTTTCAACGCAGCAGGCATCGCAGGAGCTATAACACGAGAGACACAAGACTATCGCCCCAGAAAACGATGAGTATAGTATGATCATTCTGGCAACTTTTGGTAGAACGGACCTTGAGGAAATCAAAAAACGCAATTACTGGCTCTTTCTACTCATTCTTCCACCTTCTGTCGACTTAATGGGGATTGTTGCCCTTTTCCGAGAAGCTCTCGGGGACGCCCGTCCTGGTGTTCGCAGAAGGGTGCTACAGACTGTTGCTTGAAAAGAAGATTAGGAGAGAGAACCTTCCCTGAATGATTACAAGCTTGATTAGCATGGTCTCAGATCAGATACTTCAGGTGCCGATAGACAAGGTGCTGCACAAGGTTTTGCAGGAGCGTTGAGTGGTTCTTACCTGAATTTGCGCGTGGATTGTTCGACGAGAGTAAGATGTCAGACTCCATTCTGCAAAATGCATGAATGATTTTCACAGTATCTCTAGCAAGATTGTAATCAATGATGGCAACGGCGAAGGCGGAGGAGACGTAGAAGGTGGAAATGATATATGTGGACGGACTGAAACAGCCAAGAATTACTGGTTGAGATTTTATGTTGAAAGACATAAGCAGGTTCTTTCAGCTATCTATCTTTCGCGTATAATCAAATGCACCCCGTCAGTTGCTACAGTGCAAATCTTTTAGGTGTTGGTACACGACACTCCAAGAATTTTCAAAGGACTCATGCCAACACTTATCGAAAGACTTGTCACAATTCTTACCAATGATCGTTTAAAATGCCCGAAACTGCTGCAAGGGCATTGAGACAAATTGGCAGAAAACAGAGTGAGAAGTCTTGCAAAATGTTACTCAAGTTTTACATTCATTCCTGAATGCAGCTTCCTCTCAACTCAGAGGGTGTGTG